GGGGGGAGAAGCAGGAAGAGCAGATGCCAGCAAGGAATCAGCTGTATCAGGAGGAGGAGGAGGAAGAGGAAGAGAATACGGTAAAGGCAGCAGAGGGGGAAGAGCCTCCGGCTCCGGACAGTCCAGGACAGGATTTACAGTTGGTTCAATGAAAGCCATCTCACTTCCCCGAACCCCCTCCCCCAATCCACATTCCTCCAAAACCTTTCTATTTCTACAAAGAGACATAAACGCTTGCGCATACATCAATTCCTCCCATTTACCATTCTGCCGGCAGAACAAAATCAATTGTAAGATAGTATTATAATTAACACTTCCCTCCGGAGGCCAATGTTCTTGATCATCTAGCTGATAGCGTGGCCACGCAGTTTCACAGAAGAATTTAGCTTTCTTCCTAGTCATAGGATCTCCACCAAACTCTGCCCAATGTCCCAATGCACAAGAGAGGGGGGTACATTTCCTAACCTTACTGTTAATAGTACCCATCTCAGGGCTGCCTTCCCGGTCCTGACCGTCCGACTTACCTGGGATCCAGGGATCTGTTCTTAGTCCTCGTCCTCACAGGGGAAAAATCACTGGTCTTGGACTCGGGCCAGACAGAATACTTACAGAGATAATCCCAGGCAGGCGTGCTGACGGTAGGCCTTATGCCCTTTCTACCCTCTCACCCAGGTGCCTGTTACTGATACTTTCACTCTATGGCTTTGCACCGTTAGGCTACTGCCGCCTCAGCAATCCAGCTCCCCCTGAAACAAAAGTCTCACCGGGAAAAGAGATCCCGGGGCGCGCCTGACATTTGATAAGGAAGAGCTGTGTCTGGTCGTCAGCTAGTCCGGGCAAAGTTATCTAAGGCAGTCCCATCTGGGTCGCCAAAAACTGTTGAGCCCCAGCTCAAGTCTGGGATCGTGCCTGGTATGCAAAAGCCAATAAAGATACCAGGGGTGAAAGTATAAAGATTTATTGCTAGCAATACAAGGTGCAAGCGGAATAATTTCACGTAACAAGCACACAGATTCTTAATTCTAAGCATCTTTTATACAGGAGTATTGGACCTTCATAAGCATTCTTGTTTGCTAATTGGTTATAAGGGAGTGACGCAAGGAGTTCTTTACTGAGCATGTCTCTATACCTGTGTTTTAGCTATGTATCTCATTTCCATACATGTATGTTTCATTAGCATACTTTCTCCCCACCTAGGGGTGTGAATCTTAATATTTAAATCAGCTCTTTGCCCTAGTCCTCTGATTCTGCTTTTGTTTTCAAGCCTCCTTTATCTAAGACTGTCTCCTCCTTATCATTGCAGATGGGCATTAGTTACATAACAGAGACTTTTGCTTGGGCTATGTGTAGTGGTTTCTAGGTCAAACCTGACACCTGGATGCTGCAGGCAGCCATGTATGGCCAGAGGGGGTGGGAACAGACTGCTGCCAGGAGCAGCAAATCTGCTCCTACATCCCCACACATATAGGCAGCTGCCCAGGGTGGCTTTGCTTTACAGTAATTTATTCTAAAGTAAACGCACCCTGCAGAATTTGTACATGAGGTTACTCTAGAGTAAACCTGCCACACAACATTTATACATGTAGACATGCCCAAAGGGTGGCAAAATTCTCTCCATTATCTGTTGCAGTGCTCCAAACATAAGGTAAAAAAAGCAAGTGCCCTGAAATGTTCAAAAGAAAATAAAACCTTTCAATTTAAAATTGTTCAGCAAAGTCTGAAAAACCCTTGAAGAGAGGAGTGAGGCAGCAGAAAAACTTCAGTCCAGCCAGCTAACTAAGAACAGTGGCAAGTGTTTATGAGATAAAAAAATGAAAAGCTTTTCTGTGGTAGGTGTTTGAAACCTAACTGTGATGAAGTCCATATTCATACCCTTTCCCGACTGAGGCCAGGACCACTTCTAAGCAGCAATTTCTGTCCACTCAATCTTGTTTTGCATATACCAAAGTTCAGCAATTCCTCAGCATAGAGTGGCTCTGAAGCATCACTTCAGTGCTGCTCTCAGGCTGTCTGTTTCAGGGTGCACACTTTGGAAAGCTCCAAGTCATGTATGCTCCCTAATTACTTGGCTTTGTGACACACATATGAAGAACAGATGAGGCTTGTTTCTTGAGTGAAGTCCCTGCAGAAAGGTAGCATCAATATGGCTTGGAAGGCTTAGCTTCCAGTTGGAACTCTGTTGAGTCAGAAGTCTCCCAGAGGACTTCAGATAGGTACTACATTTTCTACCCCAACCATACTCACCTCACAGACTAGTCCTTGCCAAATCTTAGACATACAACTAAACAGTTCAGACTTTGCTGCTCTTCTTCAGTCTTTGTTGCATCTGCATAATTTGTCACATGAAAATAACACAGTTGAAGATTATTTTTTCCTAGCAGTAGCCTAGCTATAGGGCCAAGCACAGACATTACACTTTTACTCATATAAGTGATTGGAAACCAGTCTATACATGTAACAGAAGCCTGGCACACAAAACCAGGCTACACCCATAACAGACCTGAAGTTTGGCGCGCACAGACTGGTTTAAAAATGGTAGAACCTGGTTGAAGATTTGACCCTCCTCCCCTCTCATCAATGGGTAAATCTGCGTTCTGTTCACTACCCCAATCTAAACTACAGCACTTACAGAAAACCTTACATCAATTCCACCTAATTTTTTTTTAATGTCTAGCTAGCTTAGAAAGGCTTTTTTTGTTGTATTTATCTTGTTTCTTATCCCATACAATTCTTACCTTGCAATTACAGGACTAATAGCATATATCTTTTCTTTCTAGTATTTGAACACGGTTATTCCATATGAGAAGAAAAGTTCACCTCCTTCTGTTGAGGATCTGCAGATGCTGACAAACAGTAAGTTTCTGGCTCTGCTAAAATCACCATGCCATTTTAGAGGATAAAACATTTTTTTTCCCATTGGCAGGGTTATTTGGTGTAGCAGGACTTCTGAAATGTTAGATTTCCTATGATTTTCAATCTTCATTAATCTTGATTTCAATGCTTTCCTTGAACAACTCTAAGAGATGCACTACTGAAAACTATTTGAAGAAGTGAATACATTTCCATGTCAAAATCATGTGACGCAGATTTATTAGGCTTATATATTCAGTATTGAGTTTAACAAGAAACTAGCAAAAGGAAGGGAAGGAAAAATAGTTGAGTTTTTTTCCAGACAGCCAGGGATGATTGGGTTTTCAGAATCCTATCAAGAAATGACATTCATCCTCCTGATCTGTTTACAGACTGACACACACTGAATCGCTAATGATTAATTTCCAATTTTCTACATAGTAAATTTGCATACACAAGAACTTTTGTAAGCTAATGGGTATTTCATAAGCTTCTAAAGCCCACCTAAATGAATTTAGTTCCTAACTCTAACTTGGAACAGAAAACAAAAGGTTGAAATGTTATGACAGGAATTGTGCATTATGGGATGCTCCTCACACTCCCTCTGTGTCTCTATGGGAACTGAATATTGATTTAAATGAAACAAACACTGTCTCCTGTTCTTTCAGAGTTAAATGATATGAATGAGTCTTCTGTTCAAGAAGGGTTCTATGAGTAGCAGTCCATGAGAAAGACTAAACATTGATTGTGTTTAGTAACATGTCTTTGACTTGAAAGGTTAGCAAAAAGAAAAAAAGTTTTGAATTACCCATATTGTAAATTCTGTGATACAAGCATATATTATAAGTAGAAGAAATAACTTTCTGAGCTGAAATAAATCTCTCAATAATGGCTACAGACCAACCAATACAAAATTCAGAGCCCCCTGATTTAATGGCTTTTGTATTCTATTCTATTCAGTACAGGTAACCCTTTTGCTATAATCAATGAGGTACCCGAGTGCTCTCCAACAGTGTATTAAGCTATATGAGTAATAGTTGTCACATGCAACCATCCTCTGTAGCCGGCTAACTGTACAGAAACACCTGTCACTTGAAAAAGAGACTTCACTGTCAGGTATCCCACTGAGTCTAATACAGAAAGCAAGGCAGGGTGGCAGGTTAAAGACTACCTCATTCACTTACTTGGTTAATGGTTTGTTAACCTCTGATATTTTCAACCCACCTTCTATCTCAGGCATGCTCCCTCCCTGTACCCTTTCCTTATCTTTTGTATTTAAATTACTTAATTCATTTCTGTTTAGGACCCCTGCCTTTTGTAAGTCTATACATAACACCTGATGAAATAGGTTGCTGCCTAAGAAAACTTATGGATTTCTGAATGAGATAGTCTCTTAAAGTGCCAACTTGCCTTGCATTCTGCCTAGCTTCAGACAACATGGCTAACAACCTTTCTCTGCTCAGTCTAATATGCTTTTGCTAGGCTCACAGGATACCTTATAGTAGCTATCAGCATAGAGGGGTACCATTTGAATGTTAAGTTGACTAGTTAGAATTAAAAAAAAAAAACAGTTCCTGAAACATATTGTAACATTTTCCATAGGATTTTTTTTTTAGAAAATTCAGTGGAAACAGCTCTGGTGAATTTAAACATTTCTCTGTAGTGGCAGGACTCTGAGTGTTGCACATACTCAAATACTTCATTAATGCATGATGACCAGTGAAGCTTATGAAAATCAGCAGTGAATCTGATCAGCCTATTATGTAATATACTAGATCATGTCTTTCCAACAAATGAATGTAATGGGCTTTGTAAACATTACTGAATTAAATCTGGGATTATCATCCTCATTTTACAGATGATGCAATTTAGACATAGGGAAGTGATATGATATGACATGACTTGTCGAAAGCTACATAGGACGTCGGTGTGAGTGCAGGTTTCCTTGCTCATACTTTACACCATGGATCACAGTGGTCATGTCTACATGTGTATTTATGTGTGCCTAAACTTAATGCACCATTGCTTAAGGCACATTAAGGTGATTTAGATGCATGTCTACACGTGGACATGCTAATGTGCATTAACATGCATTCTTAGGTGTGAATAGCTAACTTGCATTACTGCATGTGCAGATGCGCCAATGTGCATTAATGCAGTGTGTGTCCATTGACTCACATTGTGTTAATGCGCATTAGCATGTCCACACATGTGCTAATGCAACGTAGCTATTTGCACCTAAATTTCATACCTGTTTTATGCAGGTATCAAATTTTGGCTCACATAATCTTAAATCACCATTTTTTAAGGTACATTGAGGGGGTGCACATTTAGAAGCGCACCCTTAATGCACCTTAAAAATGGCAATTTCAGTCTAAACCCATTTAAGAGGCACATGTAGACACTCCCAATATGTCCCCTTCTCCTCCCAACAAATCATTAAAGAACAATTTCCGATACTACCTTCTAAGAATACCACAAATTATAGTTTCCCAATTTCATATCCTAAAAACTAAGCCACATGTGTATACTTATTGACTTCTATATGATTTATATCTGCCATGGCAATTATTTTATTTGGGATTGGCAACCTATGGCCCATGAGCTGGACTCAGCCCACAAAGCTAGTAGCTCCAGCCCACAGACCCAGTGGATTCAGTGATGTTCTTGTGGCAAAGGGCTTGGTAGCATTTGGCCAAGTGGTGGGGAGCTTCTCCTGTGCTGCAGCTGGGGAAAACTGATGATGACAGTAGCAGTGAGTTTTGCTTTCAAGACCTTGAGGTACAGTTTCTCCAAACCCCCTGTATCTATCTCCTTGAAACTTGGCAGGCTTCATGCCCACAGGAGGGGCTACGTTCTCTGTAAGCTTAGTCCAAATCAGGCCAGAAATGACAAAGTTATTCGCTGTTTTGAGCTTCCCAATTATAGCCTATGGGCGCCACATCGAAACAGCATTTAAACAGCATTGAAACAGTGAAACTGTTTTGATTAAATGAAATGGAACAGCAGTTTTGAAACAAAACACAATTTGAAACAGAACACTGTTCCACTGAAACAGAACGCTGCTGTTTCGCACAGCCCTATTAGTTATCCATTTTTACATATCTTATTTTGATATTACAAACAACTGTAGGGTTGCTAGAAAAAAAGTTTCATCAAAACTTTTTTTTTGAGAGATAGAAAACTAAATTTTGTACAAAGTTATTATTTTCATTAAAAAGTACCTGAACATGATGATAAATGTTGAGTTTTCTTTAAAAAAAAATGGTAGGAACCAGAAAACTCTCGTATGGTATACTATGACTGGGGGATCCCCTGTTGCTAGTAGTGGCTTTGCAAGAAGATTGTGGTGAATCATGTAGTCCAGAGGTTCCCCAATTTTATTGCATACCCCCTTCCAGATTTATCAGTTGTCCACATACCCCTACCAGCATCCATTTTATATTTGAATCCCTTAAATGCCAATTATTATTTCCATTACAATTAAATTCACCATTATATAATTCTCCCACATACCCCCACCCCCGAGATGTCTTGCACACCCACAAGGGTACGCATACCACGTATGGGAACCCCTGATGTAGTGTAACTGGGGAAAATAAGGGCATGAGGCACCATATCAGGCACTTTCAAATTTCAATTTTCAGATTTAAACAAGAAAATCTATGGTTTTTCTTTTCTATTCTCCCCCCTGCCCCCCCCCAACATCTTTGAATTTCAAGTTTTCACTGAAGTCAAAAATTTCTGTGAGGGAGAAGGAAACATTTTCCAATCAACACTGATAAAATGTAATTCTAGGATACAGAAACAGATTGAGACCATAGAAAAATATGAATAAAGTAGAAAAAAAACATGAGCAAATGAATAAACCTTGACTTTTTATATATAATTTGTTGCTCTACCTTCCTCCCCACCCCCACCAATTCTTCAGTCTTTTCTATTGCTTTGTGACTATCCATTTGTAGAACAGTTCTTTTAGGTGCCGTCTTTTCTATTGCTTTGTGACTATCCATTTGCAGAACAGTTGTTTTAGGTGGAATCAGCAATAGCATGCTGACAACCATCATTTTTCAGTAGCTATGTCACAAAACTTTTAATGACTCAAGAGACCTAAGCTGCAGAAGCAATTTCAGAAGTTCCAGTATGTGAGAGGTCAAGGAAAACTGAAACCAAAAAAATGGTGCAAGGAGACTCCTTTTCTATGGGTGGTAGGCTTTATCCACCTACCACCTGTAGAAAAAATTCCAGAACACAGCACAAAGACTCAAAACAGCTAGAGCAGCTAAAGAAGTGGGTTCAGCAGCAGAGACCATGAAACAGTTCTGATATCTAATGTAGAAAATATGTTCTTATGATAGGTTTTTCCTCTGATGATTCTAACCCATTCCCTTTGCCTCTCCTCACACCCTCTTTTCTTTAATCTCACTCCTGTTTCGTCTCTCCACTCCTATCCTATAATATATTTGATGACCAAAAAAAAAGATTTGTTTAAAAATATATATAGATCTAGCATGACATTTGCTAACAATCAATTTGTTCAGCTTGCCTGAATATTATTTCCCTTCCTTAATCTTAATTTATTCTTATCTATTTAGACTGTGCATTCTTTGGAGACGGGGATACTATAACTTTGTGGTCCTGATCCTCCAAATTGTCTTGCTCATGTGCTTAACTTTATATGCCATAAGATAAGCATAGAAACAGGGCCTAAACAGGGTAGAAGTATGGCCTATGGTTGCCCATTGTCCAGTAAAATGTGAATTCCATTTTTATTGTAGCCTCTAAATCAGGGGCAGGCAATTATTTTGGGTGGAGGGCCGCTTACTGAATTTTGGCAAGCCTTCAAGGGCTGCATGACAGGCAGACAGGGGAAGATAAATATTAATTTTCTAAATTTTTAGGGGCCCTACAGGCTGGATAGAATGGCCTGTTGGGCCACATCCAGCTCGCAGGCTGCATTTTGCCCACCCCTGTTCTAAATGCTACTGGTATAGGAAGAAGAATAGAACAACAACTTAAAAAGTTATTTAACGCATGAAAGGTTGCAGAATTAATAACTCATATGCAATCTTTTAATTCATGTCAAGAGACTCAAAGTTTATTGGTATCTAAAGGCTCGTGCATATATATGAGCAAGTTATACTGAGAGAATGCATATTTTCAAAAGCAAAATAAATAAATAAATTGCATGGCAGAGTCTCTTGCATAACTTTAGTTCAGGAAATGTCATCCCAGATCCATCCAGGGCTAATTTTATCCTGAGGCAAGTAACTTTGAACCAATGTTTATATGCACACATCTCTGTTGTAATGTATTTTAATTACCTGCCAACTGCCTTCTAATGCTGCCTTGCATCATCTCCCACTTGGCCACTCTACGTCACCCTAACTGCTTTGGGGTTATGATGACCAATGTCACCTTTCCATTTAAATATTGGTGTGTGTCCAAGCTCTTTTTTCTTTGTACTTGGACACTTTATGGACCAGTACCTTGGTAGTTCACCTGCATTCAGTTCCTTTGAATACTTGTCCTCTGAAGATGACTGTTGATCCTGCCAGCAACAGCACCATGCTGGCCCTTCTTGCTCCGTGTCATGTTACAATGGTGCAGCAAAATTTTAGGGTAATTATAACAACTGGGAAATGAACAAACCTATCACTAAGGAGACAGTGAAATGGGGCTACCCATTTAGGGTCACACTAAGGTATATGATTCAAAATTTACCTATAATCAGCAAATGACAGTATGAGCCACATGTCACAAGGAATTGGGTTTAGCAAAGAACAACAGCACCAAGCCACGTGACATGGAAGACATGGCGGAATGGCGAGGCCAGTGGTAATCCTCACAGGAGAATGTGCCTGAAAGCCAAGAGTTCTTTGATTGGCAGGAATATCACTAGAAGCTCATGCAGTCTGAACCAGATTTCTACCTCCCTGAGATCCGTTCCTGCCAGCCAGCTGCCCCTGGCAAAACCCAGGATTCCAGAGGAGAATGGTAAGCATGCTTATATTTGTACTAATTCTTAGTGCATGACAAGAATTAGGCAGTTGTTTTATTGCTGGTGTTTGCTACATTATCATGGATGACTGAGTGAATACCAGTTCTGAGTTCCACTTCCCCAACCCCACCCCAAAGCAACCTCCCTCTGCATGTTCAAGGTGGTGTCAACCAATGTTAAC